TGTGGTGTTCGTCTGACGGTCGCTTGTTGATCGTGATCCTTTCATGGCCATATTGAGCGTTACTGGGTACTTGGTGGACTGGGTGTTTATGCCGTGTGTGGCTACAAATGTGTTACTGAGGATATCGGATCCTATTGTTCCGGTATCGAACAGGACCTTTGCTGGGAATCCGTGGATTTCCACCGTTCCTTCTAATGATTGGAAGGGAAGTATTTTTGTATTCACTGGGGTGGTTTTATAGCAGTCAACTATTGCCGTTACCGAATTGATGTGTACCTCTTCAAGGTGATCGTCTATTTCTTCTTCGAGAATATTTGTTGTAACTTCCTTTTTCACTGATTTGCCTTTGTTTTTCTTCGCATAGCAATCCTTTGCGTAATGGCCTTTCTTTCCACATTCGAAACACTCATTGTTTTCCTTTCACTGTCGTTGTCGCTGGTTGCCCTTGCTTGTCGTCCGCTCCCTTTTCTGCTTACTTGCAGATGTGGTGTGTCGTTTTTCCATTCCTTTGGTCTGCTGGGATTGTCTTCGGTAAGCTCCTGTGTCCCACAGGATAGCATCGTGCCGTTCTGCCCTTTTGATTATTGCGTTTATGTCATCAGTTGGTAACTCCTGTGGTTCCACTACCTGGCGCAGTTTTGAGTGCATGGCTTCGTAAAATCGTTTTTTTAGGGAGAAGGTTGATATTGTTCCTGTTGGGAGCCGGGAGTGGTACATGAGCAGTGTGGTAGCGGTTTTGGTAATTTTCTCCGTATTGTGATTGGCCACTTGGAATATTGCATTGAATTTTTCGAATAGTTCATCCTTGTTCCGTGATGACTGGAATCGATCTTGTAGATAGCTGGATACCGTTATTGCTCTGACCCTGTCTGGTTCTTGATACTCTCCTATGCATTGTTGGTAGGCTTCCATAGCCTCATCCGTGCAAAACGCTCCTAAGTAAACTCCTGATCCATGATCGGTCATGGTTATACCATGTATAGCGAGGTACTGTCATATACTAGTAAGCCATCTATCTAAGGCTTCCGGTCTTAGGTCTTCTCCTTTTCCTGAGAACGACTTAGGTTGCGGGATTTTTATCTTTGGTTTTTCATTTGCCGGTGGGCCGGATGGTGGTGGCCCAGGGCCGGGTGTTCCGCTACTAGACATGCTGTGTTCGCTATCTGAAGCGTTGCTTGATAGGGGAGGGGGCGGCGATTGTGGTAGTAGGGGTTACGGTTTGCGTTCCTTCGCAGGTGATTCTGGGAATTCACCAGGTGTGGTGCCTTGCTTCCCTTTTCTTTGGGTTAGGCCTTCTCGTGGGACTTGTTTCCCACTTCGAGTTGTAAGTGGATCTATGTCGCACTTATTTGTGATGTAGGAGCCGACCCCAAGGTCTGCCGCTTCTGCCGGTACCGTTCGATAAGGTGAATCTTCGTAGGTTGATCAGGCCCAGATTCGTTGTAGTGTTCTAACCACTCGCTGAGGTTAAAAAAATGTAACGTGTTCACGCCGGGGCGCTAGTCACGCTGCTGTGTACAATAGGAGCTGAGTGTTTTCCTACCGGAGGGTAACAGTCTGGGCTCGCTAAGGGAGGCTTCGGTGGTGTAATAGGAGAATAGAGATAACCGTTCAACCGAGTATATTAGAATACTATCTGTCGAAGTCTGCCGTTTCCAGAGTGGAGAACAGTGGTCTTTTTAAGTACATGTGTTTGAGTACGATCATGAATTCTCACTCATGTTCTTACTCAATCAAAACATAAAAATAACCAAGTATCAACCGATACTTAAAACAAAACATAAAACAAACTAAGTATCAACCGATACTTAAAACAAAACATAAAACAAACTAAGTATCAACCGATACTTAAAACATAAAACAAACTAA